TGGGTTTAGGGTTTAGGGTTGCGGTCCTTTCTGTAATTGGAAGACGGTTTTGGTGTATTGGGGTATCATTATCATTGTCCCTTCGGGTACAGCCTTTCAGCGGCCTCGCTACCTCGAGGCTGAAAAATGGGGGATTGGGAGACCGTCCGGGAAAGCCTCTGGTTTTAAAAGAAATCTTGACAACAGACAAGCTGTCGCACACCGTGACAGCAGCATCTTCGTCTCACCTGCCCTTCTCGAAAACAGCTCTGAGCTGTGGGCAGGTTGCTGGGCCTGCTGCTCTTCTACACCCCATGAACCGTATCACGGACGGGCGTGCGGCAAACAGCTTCCACCGAGTGCCTCCAGTGAGCAAGCCTCACAGGGAGCCTGCGAACTCCAAACCGACAGAACCGAACCTGCTTCCTGATATAGGGGCCTTAACAACTACCCAGGCTCCTTATTATGATTATGGTATACTAGACTCTGTTCTATACTTATTAAGGCCCTTATATTATGTCCTGCATGCAGCACCTGTGGTTCACATGTTTCAAACTCCCGTGCTTTTGTCAGACCCCACCTCGCACCTGAGCCTTGTACCCTGCACCCACACCTCAATAAGATCAGAAGTAGTGCAACGGCACAAAAAAGAATAAAGGCAAGTGAGAGCTGCTGAAGATTGTGAACCGGAAAAATCGATAGTATTCCCCATTCGTGAGCCGATCCTACTTGTTCGTCGCATAGGGCACCCTTCTAGAGGCACTGGGTGTCAGAATACTGATGCCGCAGTCGTTCCAAGGCCTGCCGAAGGAGCATGGCGAGTTAGTTGGAGCTTTGTGGAAGCAAGCAGAAGGATTCCAAACGGCGTTTTACATGCCGCATCCAGTGAGGGAGTGAGTGAGAAAGCGAGAGACAAAGAGAGAGAGAGAGAGAGAGAGAGAGAGACAGACAGACAGACAGGCAGGCAGGCAGGCAGGCAGGCAGGCAGGCAGGCAGGCAGACAGGCAGACAGGCAGACAGGCAGACAGGCAGACAGGCAGACAGGCAGACAGGCAGACAGGCAGACAGGCAGACAGGCAGACAGGCAGACAGACAGACAGAGAGGGAGAGAGAGAAGACACGGAGGGAGAGTCATCACAATCCTTCTAAAAACACTGAAACAAGCCGAGATTCCAGCATGCGGGTTCCCAAACATCTTATTACTTATATTGTCGAAACCTGAAGAGTTCCAGGCGGAAGCCCTTCTTGGAGGCGTCCTAGGGCTTGGGTCTCAAGGGTTCAGACCTACCTCTCCGGAAGCACCCTGTCGTCATTGGGAAGGAAGTACTCCACGACGCTGTGCGGAACAAAAGCCGCATGCTTAGAGCAATTTATAGGCTTGCTTACCGGCATGCATAACTATCAGCCGTCCTGCTTGCAAGCGGAATGCGAATGCTCTGCTAGTTTTTGCAAAAGGCAGTGCGTTCAGCACATCTAAGCCCACGATAAGCCCGAAAAGCCTTGGGGATCTAAACGAGGCTCTCTTGCAAGTACGTTTGAAGAGGACCTTCTATCTGCAGCCAAACCGCGAGGACCCGGAACCCGAACACACTCAACCATACTAAGGGCCCTTAATAGTTAGAATAGGGTTCTGGGGCGTATTATAATATAACTATAAGAAGGAATACCCAAAACGTATAACGGGTATAAACTTATTTCGGCTCCATATAACTATAAGAAGGAATACACGAAAAGTATAATTGGTATATAGTTATTTCGCCCCTTATATTAGACAGCACCTCCCGGATGTTATCGTCCTTGCTGCACGGCAAGAAGTTCACCAAACAGGCGAAGCTCCTCAGCCAAGGCTTCTGTAAGAGTTTAGGGCTTATATAATATAGGGTTTAGGGTTTAGGGTCTAGGAAGAATTCCTAGTACAAACTCAAGCGAAGTTCAGAGAGCATTCCGGAAGTCCCGTAAGAACTCAGCAAGCCCCCTTCTTCGCAGGTCCTATAGACCCTAGGCCCGAACAGAAGCCCGTAAACCGAACCCGACGTGATGGGGCCTAGGTCACAGCGCACATACATCCCTCGAAAGTTCGGAGTCATGCTTTAAAAGCCCTCCCTTCAGCCCCAAGCCCAACTTGCAAAACCCTGCTGAACCCATGAACTCAGCCCTCCACAATATGAATCCTAAAGATGGCCTCGAAACAACCCGATTCAAACAACCTCAAGCCCTAAACCCCGTAAGCCTGCCAATCATTAATTAAAATGTCCCAAAGCCTACCTAGTAATGAACCCTGGTCCTCCAAAACCCCGACAAAAATTCTTAAACCCCAAAAACCCCTAAACCCTAAACCCGTAAGCCGAAACATGTTAGTAAATAAGATCCTCTTGAGGCCAAGAAAGGGAAATATAAAATGTCCCAAAGCCCTTCCTAGTCATGAACCCTGGTCCTCCAAAACCCCGACAAAAATTCTTAAACACCAAAAACCCCTAAACCCGTAAGCCGTAACCCCGAAACCCTAAACCCTAAACCCGAAACCCTAAACCCCCAAAAATCCCAGGCACATGGAGGCCAGGACCCGCTGAAGGTTCCTGGGCGCTTCCTTCCGCAGCTCTGCGCGGCGGTCCTCGAAGAAAGCGTGGGTTTGGGGTGCAGGGTGCTTAGGCTTTGGGTTTCAGGGTTTGAGATTGGGTTTTGGGTTTGGGCACTTATAGGGTTTTGGGTTCAGGGTTTGGGGTTTTAGGTCTTAGCGTGTCAGGCGGGGGTTTCCAGATCAGGCTCCGGTGCTTCTGAGGCACAGGGATCGGCGTTTGCGCTGTTGGGCTTAGGTCTCCGGGCCTAGGGTTTAAGAGTTAGGGGAGTGAGGTTTCTGAGGGGGTTTGGGAATTGTTCTTAATGGATGTGTACCGTGGGCCTCGTACTGCGGGATTCATAGGGAATTCTGATATGGCTTACGTCTTAGGTTTAGGGGCGGTGTTAAAGCTTGAGTCATCGCTCGGTTGACCGGTGCTTGATTGATGTTCATCATGTTCAACGCCAGAAGAGTCTATTTCTCGAGTGATACGAAGCAGCCGCTGTTGGACAGTTGAAGGCATTAAGACACTAGCAAGATCTAACTATGAGTCATTGTTGTATCATGGAACCTGACCAGGGGCACACATTTTACCTCTGAAACCTGCAACCTTCAGCTGCCTTAAACTCTGAACCCTGTCACTGTCAACCATAAACCCGCCAAACCGCAAACCCTCATCATCGACCTTGTAAAACCCTAAACCCTCGACCCTAAACCCTCGACCCTAAACCCTGCCTAAATCCTAAACCCTCAACCCTAAGCCTTCAACCCCAAAACCCTCAACCCTAAATCCTCAACCCTGAAGAACCCTCAACCCTAAACCCTGGCACCCTAATACTAATACGAATACTAATACTAATACTAATACTAATATTAATACTAATACTAATATTAATACTAATACTAATACGAATATTTATATTAATATAAACCCTAAGGCGGGAGTCCTGGAGTTCCTTCTCACTGGGCATTGCGGCACGCTCCTGCGGCTTGGCCCGGCCGGAGAGCGGAGCGCGATCGGGAGGAGGATTGTGCGCAATATAGTGGCCTAAAATTAAGGCCCCTAGAGTAAGGCTTTAAGGTTTAGGGCTCGGGGTTTAAGATTCAGGGCGTGAGGGTACCAAGAGCTCAGGGATTTTTTTGGTCTTTCGGTGTTGAGGGTCCAGTGGTCAGTCCCACTCGGACCCAAACGCTGCTGACTCTTCCCCTGCTGCCCTTGCAAGTAAAGTAATCCCCCTATCGTCCCTCAGTCTATGATTATACTTTTTTAGTACTGTAATAATTACCCCAAAACACTTTCAGTTTGTCTGACTGGCCTCTAGCAACTGCAACACCTCCCAGGCGGCGGCAGGTAGTTTCATCTTTGCGCAGGTCGCCTGGGCATCGAGTAACAGGAGCTCTCAAAGGTCATCAATTGCTATAACTGCAGGAATGCATGATATAACTGCAGGAATGCATGAAAGATACCTCGATACTATCAAACCCTGAACTCTAACCTAAACTGAAACAAGGTCGTCTGGTAGAAAAGACAACTAAGAGCGAAGGCTTTGGAGAGATGAACCTCAAAGCCATGCTAGGATGCTTGCTTCTTTCGCTGTTCTTTACAGCCTCGCACGGCTTGTATCCTGTTAACATACCTTCTGGCCAAAATTGATCCCGCTTTTGCAATGAATAGAATATAATGAGCCTACACACTTGGGTTATAAGTATCATTGTCATTCAGCCGGCTATTGACACCCTGAACCTCCAGGCAGTGTGCTGTGCACTACCTCATTCGGGAGCTCCGGCCGACCGTGGATGTGGGCTATGATTTTAGAAATCTGCAAAGCTCCCGCCGGTATCTAAATTCCACGATTTTGGTGCATCCTTTGGGCGAACTTTTTGGGGCCTGAAAGCTCTGCAAGCTGACCACAGGGCCGGATCAAGTCCATCCCAAAGGCCCTTCTTCTTGTGCGACAATGCATCTTCGTGCTTTCACATCAGATGGCGGATCTTGGCTTCAGCGCTCCGACCTGCGATCTTCTGCGCAGGGTAATATAGGGGCCTTAAAATAAGTACCAATATTGTGGTTATAGGTTCCTGACAATAATAATAGTATAATGGGCCCCCAAAACCTGCTTCTGACTACCAAGGCCCCTATAATACTCAAAACTGAGGCCGAGCCGTGCAAAGGCCAGGATTTCAAGGCCACAGGCTCTTCTGCCGGCACTGCATCCCCCACTAAACATTGCTGATTTCTGCTAAGTATAGCCACAAGTATAGCCACACGACAGATGTAATCGGACGGACCGTGTAAAGTGGGGGCCGCGTGCGCTGCACACGAGCGACTCCGGCGACAAGCCAAGAAGCGTCCGGCACAGACATGCCGTGGCAGCCGTGCGCTGACCCCCTTGGCCGCACATCGCCAAAGTTCGTGAATTTACCAGTCATGCATGTGCGGGCCTCATCTATACATCTCAGAAGCCTAGTCCATGTAATCGCCCGCCGTGATCGGGATGGAGGCCCTGCCATCCATGCTTCCATCCAAGGGACCCGGGCCTCCCTGGCCCCTTCCACCACGACGAATGACCGCCTTCTTGTGGCCCAAGCTGAGGATGCAGGACGGACGAGAGAAGACGGCCACGGGAAGGTAGGGCTCAAAGACGATCTTCAGCACCTGGCAGGCCAGCGGCCGGACGGTGACGCTGGTAAGGGCCGCCGGGTCGCCTGAGTCGAGCATCACGAGGTCGCCCACCTTCAGCTTGCCAGCCTCAAGGTAGAGGCTCTCCTCCACCTCGCCCTTCACATCGGCGACCTGCACCAAGTGGTCTGGAGTCACCCGCAAAGTTGCAGTGCCCGCCTGCATCTCCACAACCTCGCCGGCATCGCATATTTCCGGCGACTTGGCCACCTCCAGGATGGTTGCATCGTCTGCTGCCACCACCTGCGACCCTTTCTTGAGGTCTCTCCCCATCAAGAAGAAGTCTGCCCCATAGCTGCGGGTTTTGAAGATGGCATCGACCATGAAGCAGTGATCTTTCACGGAGTCCGGCTTCACTGAGAACCACGAGGAGCAGCTCAAGACCGAAGAGGAAGTGCCGTCATCATCCACGATGCTGTACCCCAGCCGCTCAGCAAGATCCGGCTCCTGGCTGCTGGAGGCCACTTCGCTGAATGCCACGCCATGGTGAGTGAGGGCACCAGCATGATGGGCTTTGCGTTGCTTCGCCTTGCAAAGCTGGCGCTCCAGCTCACGAATGCGTTCCTTGTGCATGCCCTTCTCTTCATGCAGATGTAGAAGCTGACCGAGCATCCCCGACCTTTCCGCCTCTGCCTTAGCCAAGTGCTGCTGGAGCACCGCCTTCTCCAGCTGCAGCTCGGCCTGGCTCCCGGCCGAAGCCGCACGCGCCTCTGCGAGCTGGCAGCGCTCCTGAAGACCGCGACTCTCCTCCTGCAGCCGCTGGAGCTCCACCTCCTTTCCGGCAGCATCGGAATCGGCCTGTGAAAGACGCTCCTTGGTCTCTGCATGCTGGGAAGCTTCCGCCTCCAAACGAGCCAAGAGCTTCTCACAGCGCTCCTGGCACTGGCCATTCTCCTCCTGCAACTGTCGGAGCTCCGTTCGCATCTCCGCCGCCGCCCCCTCCGCAGCTGCAGCACGAGTTGCGAACTCCGCACACTGCTCCTTGCACTTGGCACTCTCGTTCTGCGCGGCTTGGAGCTCCGCCTCCTTGCTGGACACCTCCGCCTCCGCCGTGGCCAGGCGATTGCGAAGATCTCGACACTCCTCCTCCTGCGACTTCTGGAGCTCCGCTTCGAGGCGATGCCGCTGGGCAGTCTCCTCCTCGAGCTTCTGCCGCTTCCGCGCCGTCTCCGGGCTCTCCGCCTCCACGAGCTGCTCCGCGAGCTCCCGGCAGCGATCGCGGGTGTGGGGCTGCTGCCGGTACAAAGCCGCCCAGTCCTCCCGCTCCGCTGCTGGGCGGAGCTCGCCTCGAAGGAGCCCCGCCTCGGAGAAGCGCCACAGGTCGTCTTCGTACTTCCCCCACTCGGCCGCCCCGTGCCGGAGCAGCGCCTCGCAGAGGCGCCCCTGCCTCGTCGCCATGTTCAGCTCCCCGAAGCGCTCGAGCCAGGCCTCGGCCTCCGCCGGCTGCTCGGCCCAGAGCTCCAGCAGCCGCAGGCTCACCACCTCGCGAGCTCGATTTGCAGAAGCATCGCCTTGATAAACAGCCAAGTGGGCGAAGGCGCCGATGACGGTCGCCAGATCCCAGCCGGCAGGGACTTCGGTCAGCTGATGGAGATATTTTGTTTCGGACTGCGGTGGCATGGCGGTGCGCCGGCACTGCTCACTGTTGGAATCGGATTCGTCGCTCTGAGCCTCTAAACCGAGAGACTCCCCAGTCCCGCTTCTAAGGCTTACCTAGAGCAACCACGGCTTCAAAGCACCTCGAACAGGGTACATGTACAAAATATTTAGGGCCATAGCCCTTTTCGAACGTACGTTGGTTACACTAGGCAGGGCTTAGTCAGTTTAGTCCGATTCCTCTTCTAAAGCAGACCTGAACTTTCATGCGGGCCCACGGCTACCCAAGACCTTCTCACCTCGTCACATTTAGTCCGGTGCTTCCTCTGAGTCAACATGCGCCACTTCCTCAACCACGACTGAACCTTATAGTCTCCACCTCTAAAACCTCAAAGCATGAAGCAAAAAGGACTAAACTAAACCCAAACGATCCCAAAAGCATCGCTCTCTGAGGCGGGAGCGCGAAGATGGGGAAGGACCACGGCGATCGAATCACTTTCGGTGAGCCTGCGCTATAGGTTTTCTTGGGATTGGGGGGAGGCTCGAGGAAAGCCGTTTGCTGATAGTATACTCTACGATCTTATAGCATAGTCGACTACTTCAATGTAATATAATACACTATAAGATATCATGATACATTATACTACAATATAACATTATGATATACTATAGTACATGATAGTAGATTGGGGTCGCTCGAATCCGCATACAGTCACGTATTCTGGCCCAAAAGTGAGTCGAAACCCAACATGTTAGGGTCGGAGTTGACGGGTTTAGGGGTGCTTGAATTCGGTTTTGAGGAATTTCGGGGCAGAGTTGCGGATCCGCGGCTTCGGCCTGCGAAGGAACTCGCGCTGCCGCTTGTCGAGGGCTACCCGCCGTTCGGTGTGCTCCAGGTGACAGTAGCCTCGAGGTGACGGTAGTTTCGGGTCTGTGGTCGAGTTTCCTGGAAAATTCTTGCTAAAAGCTTGACATGCGACTTAGCATGCGTCCTCTGCCGATTTTACGTTAGCAGGCTCTAGCGGGCAGATGCTTCGCGCCGGCTGCTTGGTACTGTGTTGTTCATGATGGCTGTGCCGATGACGACTATGATGACCATTATAAACATTCTGCACAAAGCTAGGGTCAGGGACGTCATGTTTTTAGCTACCATTGCGACAATCAGGATCTCCATCAGTACTGCCACGTTTGCGTTCGGGCTACTACAAGTTGCAACTATGTTTACAATGTGCTTGATGCTGCAAGTGCTACGGCTACGGGTGCGGCCACGGCTACCATTACGACGAGAACGATGACGACCGGCGATCGACGACCCTGCCTCTGCCAACTAGTACTGTACCGCTGCCACTGCTTCTTCTTCTTCGAACATGGCAGGATCAGCAAAATGCCGTGCTCATCTTACAATGAAAAACTCTATATGATGCGCAGCAGACGCAGCAGCCGCAGCAGCAGCAGCAGCAGCAGCCGCCAGGAACGACATCTTTGCAAATGATGAACCATTGCTGCTCGTCTTGCTACTATCACCCTTCTTGCCGACCGTCGCTAAAATATCTCACTACAAGAACTCCCAAATACACCACCCGAAACAGCCTAAGCTCAAAACCCAAAAGAGCCCACGCCCCAAGCACTGAACCCTGCTCCAAATCCCCGAACCACAAACCCCAAACCTCAAAACATCAACACCTGACAACCTCAACACGTCGATCCTGAACCCTACTGCGAAAGCCTTAAGCCAAAACCCCCAACCGCAACCCTAAACCCTAACCCCTAAACCCCTAAACTCTGAACCCCTAAACCCTAAACCTAAGCCTAAACCCCAAACCCCTAAGCCTAAACCCCAAACCCCAAAACCCCAAGCCCCAGAACCCCAAAACCCCAAAACCCCAAGCTTAAACCCTAAACACCTAATCTCCTTTATAGAACCCTTACAGATCCCGGTAAGGAACCCTTATGGATCCCTTTAAAGGAAACCCTCATCCAACCTAACCTAGCTCTGCCCGGCGGCTGCACTTCGGCCCGGCAGGGCAGGGGCCGCGGTTCCCGACAAGATACCTTTCTTAGGGTTCCTTTTGAAAGGGGCAGTATAAGGGTTTTTTAGGGATTCCTTGAAAAGGTAGTATAAGGGTTTCTTAGGGATTCCTTGAAAAGATAGTATAAGGGTTTCTTAGGGATTCCTTTGAAAGGTAGTATAAGGGTTTCTTAGAAATTCCTTTAAAAGGTGGTATAAGGGTTTCTTGGGGTTCCATAAGTTCTTCGGTAAAAGGGGTAGTATAAGGGATCGTAAATTGTTAGGGGTTCCTTTAAAAGGGGTATTATAAGGGATCTATAGTAGGGCTCTGCTAGTACGGTATAGGGGTTAGAATCGGTTAGAACATAGGGGTTTAGGATTTGAGGCTCAGAGTTTAGGATTTACGGTGTACAAGGGTTCAGGGCGAAGTTCTCGGAATCTTAGGGTTACCTTTGAAAGGCAGTATAAAGGATCATACGTTGTTACGGACTGCCTTAAAAGGGGTACCATACCTCTCGGCCGATGTTTTTCTTCAAAACACGCACAGGTTTTGGACTTTACCTAAACCCCCCAAAGTAGGTAAAATAATGACCCAATACCCATAAAAGGCTATTATTCTAAATACTTTTGGGGTCCAGGTAGGGCAAAAGGATTGAAGTCAAAGGGGTCCATCATTTCGGGTAGGGTGTAGTTTGGGGTTTGGGGCAGGGCGGAGGGTGGAGGGCTGAGGTTCATCTGTAGAGAAGCTCCTCAAAACCTCGAAGCCGGGTGAACCCAAACCCCGGATACCGATACCCCGAAAGGTTGACATTCCAACCGTGCGGGGATTGTATCACTCATCTGGTTTAGGGTTTAGGGTTTAGCACCTATATCACCTGGGAAGAGCCCACATCCGTTCTTCAGCGCGACGCTGGACCGCAAAGCCCAAACCCTTCCCTGAAAAAGTGTGAGAAGGCCCCGAATGCAGCGCAGGCCGCGGCACACACGCCACCAAGATCAGTTCGTGTCTAGGGGTTGCGTTTAGGGTTTTGGGCTCTTGGTTTAGGCTGTATAGGCTTTAGGGTTCAGGGTTCAAGGTCTAGGTTCAGGTATAGCAGTCGTGAGCGTGGCAACCAGCGTCAACGTCAACACGACCACAACCACCAAAGAACCATACCATGTCCATCACCGTCACAACGCCGCGATGAACAGCCCCACCATCACGGTAGTCATCACCAATGGACCAAGCGCTGTCCCCAAAACCCACCAGCCCTAAACCATAGGGCCCAACTTCACAATCCCTACATTTCCCTAAACCTGCAAAGTCACAATCCCCAAAACCATCCCCTTGAGTACTCATCAGTACTCATCATCCCAACCATCCATGTCATCGGGTCACACGCAGGGTCGTCTGCACATCTCTGGGTGGCCGATGCTGCCATGGCCTCGGTCGGCAAGGCTGGGATGCTCGCGTCTTTGTAGGTTTAGGTTTAGGGCTTTTTGGCGGCAGGGGGCGAAGGTGGCTTAAGGCACAGTGTAGGTCTTATTCAGGGGCGCTTCAGTAGAGTGGTGCGTACGAACATCTCTTCCAAACATGCGAAACAAAGGTGCCATGCCCCCATACTCCAAAGCCCTAAAAGCCTGAAGCCCTAAACCGACTCCGCCGCGACGAAAAGGCTCGGGTAGACGGGCGAGCTGTCCACGAACTGCTCGGGCGTCTGAAGCGGAGCCATTTTCCTCGTTGCTGGTAGGATTTTTTTTGAAGGGCCCTTTGGTTTAGGGTTTAGGGTTTAGGCTTTAGGGTTTAGGGTTTTGGGGCTTTGGGTTCAGGGTGCTAGGGTTTCGGGTCCAGGGTTGCAGGCTTGTGGAAGTGGGGAGCGCCAACTCCTAAACTCTAGGCCCGAACCAAAAAAGAAGGTCTAAGCTTCCAAGACCCCTCAAGCCTGAACTATATAGACCCAGAGGCCTACGAGTATAAACCTTGAATGTCACACTTTCAAGCCTGCACCCCAACTAAACCTCAAACCCTGAACTCCTGAACCCTCGACGTGCCTCAGATCTGCGAACTGCTCTTGCGAATCGCAGAATGGCAGCGGGATACCCTCGGCTGCTCACCCGGCTCCCTCTTTAGAACTTCGAAGCACCATTCGGGAGTGAAGAGCTTGCGGCTCTAGGGTCGTAGGGCTTTAGAGCTTTAGAGCTTCAGGGCAATGGGCGTTTGGGTGTTTCCTTTTCGCATCGTGCGCCGTTTGGGGTCTGAGGTGCTTGAAGGTTTCTGGTGTTAGGTATACCGCGAGCAATGTGCCCCTTTTGCATCCATTGGTGGTCGCTTCACAGGGGAATCCATAAATTTGGGATTCTACTCTTGCGGCGAAGTAGCTGGAGTTACTCGGGGAGTGAAGGGTTTAGGGCTGAAAAATTCTCAAAAGCCGGCGAGCATCCGACATGTCCGCGTAGCTCTGGAAGCTCTGCGGAAACAGGCCCGGAGCCTGTGGGGCCTGTCGTAGTAGCTCAAAGGAATGCTGAGGGCTTGGGGTTGAAGCCTAAGCTTTACGGGGTTCAGGGTTCGGGGTCTTGCGTTCAGGGTAGGGTAGAGAGTTCAGGGCTTGGCTGGGAATAATAGAGCAATAATTACGGCTAAGGGCTTAGGCTTTGAGGAGTGTGGCCTCTGAGGGGTTTCGGCCTTTGGGGGTTCGGGATTCCCGAAGCCCTGAACCCACAACAAGTCGTATAGTGTCGGGATTTCGGGTTGGAGGTTTAGACTTTGTTATGCCGATGCCTTCAAGGCTTAACTAAGAGCCTGGAAGGCCCACCAGCTCTGAAGAGCTCTGGGCCGCACCCGTGCGCTATTCACGAAGCTTTTGGCCCAAGCCCTACACCCTGTAAACCCTAAACCGTATCAAAACATACTCACCTAGACCCCGTGCCCTCAACTTCCTGAACCACCAGGCTTTCTCTTCTCTATAATATAGGGGCCTTAATAATTAGAATAGGGTTTTGGGGCCCATTATACTATGATTATAATATGGAACCCCCA